ACCCTCAACAAATAGTTTTGGGTAGGTTTTTTGAGTATGCGCTTTCATTTGAACGGATCAAAAAAAGTTTTTTCATTGCGAAAAACCCAGTTTTTCAAAACCGAGGTCTCCAAAGACGCATTGGCAAAAACCATCGTCATATTTGGAATTAGCATGCTCGGTTACCCATTGTCTACTAAGTTTTACGTCAAAAACGATTTCACAGTCGAGAGTCTTTCCTCATAAAAGACGTTTCATTGTCGCCTCGCTAATAAGCATCCGATATCCACGCTTTTTCTGCTCTCGTCAATTATTGACTTCTTTTCTATCACACTTTGATAACGCATCAGTTTTTAATAGACATATCTATAATTGCAGAACCTTCAACTGTACCAACTCCAGTCGTAGCAGAATGGACTCCTATAATGCCCGCTTCTTATCTATCATCAACTGTTTGTTATCGTTTATCAAATCATTTTAACGGTCTATATCGTTCAATTGATATTGAGAATGTTGAACCATATAAAAATACACCACGTATGAAACCAAATGGTAAATACACTGGGCAATGTTGGTATATAACACCTATTAAGGATATTGAAAATAAAGGTTATTATTATCTGTCAACAGCATTTCGGGGTAAAGATATGGTGTTAGATCGTTATCAAACCAGCGCAGTACGTTTACAACCAATTGATGGAACATTAACACAACACTGGAAAATTGTACCGAGGTATGTTCTTCATCGTTGATGAAGAGAGACATAGATTAGTTAGACAATGGTACTCTGTCTTTGGAGCAAATTCAGTGTGTGAATTAGTATTTCCAAATTTTCTTCTCCAAAATTTCTTTGAATTATGAAATTTATCTTTTTTTACACAATTTCTATTTTAGAATCTAACGCGTTTTGTTTTCTGTCTGTTTAGTTCTGATTATACAGGTTATTTTTATATTAAATCACGTACAGATGGTGCGCGATTAGATGTTTATCAAACAAATACTGACCTCCGTTTAATTAGTGATGATGGTAAACCAACAACGGGACAAAATTGGAAATTTACAAAGTATACTTGAAAGTAGAAATCGAACCACTTATTCACAACAAGTAAAGTTCTCGACATTCATACAGTCTTTTTTTGTCGTTCGATACAGTGTAATTGTCTATTATGAATTTTCTGAAATTAATTTTAATTATTAGTTAACTTAAAAACAAATCATTAGTTCTTCCATTCACAGAGATTAAATTTGACAACCATGGCTAGAATAGATAATCGATCACCAGATCCAGACAGAGTTTGGCAAAGCTTCTCAAAAGGCAAATAATACAGAATAATACAAAAGGAAAGAAAGGAGAAAATATCATATTGAGTTCTGTAGCAAAAAGTAAAGTTTTGTTCATTTCATCAAAACTGAACAGATAAACCCCAAAGGTTATTATTCTACATGGGTTATTTAATGTGCTCTACATGATACGTCAGCAGAATGATTTACATCAGTCTTTCATTGGTCTAATTTTCACATCCAACCTGTAAAATATAAAGAAGAAAAGTTATATAAAGAATACTGAGAAGTTCCAACGTGTCCAACTTAAAGGGGTTTTTCTTGGTGTTTCTAAACAGTTTTGCCTTTTAGTCTATCTCTTTCGCAAATATGATAACACGACAGTGTAAGTTTTTCGAGTACAACAAAGTGCGCTCTTTCGCTTGATCTACAATGAAGTCAGTTTCAACCAAGTGTTATGGAGCAAATACTACTTTATTAAAACTGAGCCGAAATGGCATAAAACTTATGCTTATTTTACTATTCAAACTCTAAACTTTTAGTCTAATGCACCATTCATTTCTCTTCAAATTAAAAGACAAGCCAAGCTGGAAAGATTAATTCTTGATCGAACTATGCAAATTTTCTGAGGATCCCAAAATCGCTAATTTAAAAACGTGACTTTTGCAAAATCTGAGGAAAGAAATAATTCTATTCTATTATAAAATATGTGTCTGCTCGTTTCGACTCAGTTTCAAAGTGAGCAAAAATACCTCATTGATCGGCGTCCGGACTAGTCCGAAGTGTCCGAGTAACCCGTCCAGAAGAGTCCGCATTTGGAATTTTTTTTCAAAGTATCAGAACTACAAGTCTTGACGTACGACCGGATGCTGAACTAGAGAAATAGATAGGACGGGGTGTCCAAAAGTCGAGCGTGACGCGCTACCCGTCGGTAGACCAGTGCAGAAATTTCCCCATGCGTCCGGACGTATGGCCTTGACACTAATCAAGACGTGCTGCATGATGGTAAATTTGTTAAAAAGTAATTATTTGTACATCGATGTCTTCCTTCGATTCTAGACGTCCTTTCTCTGAAGTAGTAAAAAGTGGATATCAACCTGGTTGAGAGATTTCAAAAACTTGTTTATCAAAAACTCTCGTAGACATAGACTCTCGGTAGTCTATTATTGTGTACACAACAAAGTTTTGCATCGAGATATATAAAACCAAATTAGGTTACGCTGCAGCTGCTAAACCATTTGATCTACTAGTATACCGTTTAGCAGACAAACAAAAATTACAAGAGGGTATTTCATATTATAAGATATCCTTTATGAGTTTTTCATTTTTGATACGATATCAAAAGGATTTACTAAAGTACTCGTAAGGGATATCCTACAGAACCCAAGTTTTGTGTTAATGGTAAAATACCGTAAGGTATTTGATTCACTCTGAAATATCAAATGACATCTTGAGATACCAACATGGTTTATTAGGATACGGTCTGAATTTTTTGGAAACTGAAAAAAGGTTTGGATTTGTAGGTTACCACCAGGTTAGTTCACTTCTCATCCCTTTCGTCCTTTAGGGATCATTCTTTCAATTTTTTTCTACATTTTGTAAGCTCGAGATTTTCGAGTCAATAAATTTTAAATGATTTGTTGCGTTGAAAAGTAATTGTATTGCAGGAATGCCTTTTCTGGATCTGTGGGTTTCCTTCGCCACACAGAAGATGCAAGTAAAAAATTATTTATCATCTATTTTTCGTTTTGTTTGTTGAGAAGATTTTATTTGCTAAAAACAATAACCTTATTAGTTTAGTTTAAACTGTATTTATTTAAATAACAAGTAAAAAAAGAATGTATTCAAGAATATGTAATCTTAAAGACGGAATCAACAGAAGTCGTTGCACCTTCTCCTTGATTACCATAAACTATAGCAAAATAATATAAATAAATATGTCTTTGATGTTACAATGTCTGATGTTCTGTCCGCATACCATCACCATCCGATGAGTGGACACTTTGGTGTCAATCCCACGTACAACAAAATTAAAGGAAAATATTTTTGGTTTCAAATGTATGATCCCATCAAACGATATGTAGGATCTTATACAAAATGTGCTCGATTTAATGTGTAACGCAAAAAAAATCCCGGATTTCTACAACAAGAACAGTCGCCAGATGGAGTTTTTGAGGTTATGCAAATGAATTTTTGGACGACTCCTGTTCGATCGAACAATGGAAATCAATACGTTCTAATCATCACTGATCGATTATCCAAATACGTATTTGCGCGCACCTTGCCATCCGCGACTGCCAAGGATGCCGCCGAAATGATATTCGAAGACATTATACTGAAACATGGAGCTATTCGGCGTCTACAATCCGATCAAGGTTCGCACTTCAAGAACGAATTGTTAGCCGCCATCACGTAAACAAGTCTTCTCAATCCCATATCATCCGATGTCTAATGGGCAAGTTGAGCGATTTAACTCAACATTTTGTGATCAACTTAAAAAATATTGCAATGATTGCTTTTCTATTACCACTTATATGTGTATTTTCCCTTTCTTATACATAACATATGTTTCATCTTTTCTTTTGACAAGTACTTTTCTTTTTCTCAGTGTTATTGTTCATATGTATTATATCTGATGGGATTTTTTCCTGATCATTTTACCTCGATCACCTATGGGATATTTCCGAAAGATGCGTGATGTCCAATCCTATATAAAGCCGATGATTTTGCATAAATAAACAGAGGTGAAATGATCATTTCTCATCTTATTATCATCTATCCGACGATATAGAGTTAGTCACCTAATATTGATGCATTCTGGTCGACTAATTGTCAATCCAACAGGTGGCAATTTAATATTAGGCAGCGAACATCTAACTATTCGACAAAGATAACACAGAAAAAAAGTTTTTTTTTCCTTTTTTGCTCGATCAGGAGAAATCCAAGTCCACTTTCGCGACTTATTCTCGCTGTCGTCATCGCGATCGCTATGATATCCCGCTTGTCGCGGAGCGATCGCGATGAAATCTTATATTTGCGTCACATGAGCTTGGTTTTGCTTCAAAGTGCTTTTTTCAGAAAGAAAGTTATATCATACTTTCCTTTTCCGTCCTGTTTTGACAGTATATATAGTCCGAACTGTCCTCTACAAAATCGAATCTAAGCGACAGCTTGAAAACCAATGGTACGGGAGCTATGGACATTTTTCCTGAAGCCTTAGCACTCCTCTACAGCGTATCTACAGCATACCGTAAAACTCAATAAATATTGTAAAATCAACAGAAAATACTTTGGTTTCTAGAAAGATTTCCTAGAAACCTTCGGAACTAAAAGAATATTATTGATTTTACGTACAGAATTAGAATGAGCGGCTAAAATAGAATATTTGCTGACATTCTGAAGTAGGTTGGATGGATTTTGTCTTAATTATGAATTATTTAATTTTTGATGAGCATAATCAAAAATGGGTTATTTCACTTAGTATAGGTTTTCACCCGGTTCTTGCATTTTTGTTCCGACAAATAACATTGCCACGAGATTCAGCATAGTCGATAATCTGTATTTTCATTCATTTCTGACAGTCTGAAACCTAACAGCAGAGGAGTGCTAAATGGTTTGAAAGCTACCTGAAGAATCGTCGTATTGTCACAATGGTCGATGGTAGTACTTCGTCAGAACGTTTTTTATTACAAAACGGCCAGCAAGGCTCGATTTTAGGATCTCTCCTGTTTCTAGTTTATATTAATGACTTGCCAAGTTTTCCTTTTGCTGATAACTGTTCCATTCACGTGAAGGACAAAGATTTAGATAGAGCTGTTGTGAAAATGAATAAAGATTTGGAAAGAATGTATAAATGGTCATTAGATTGGATTATTCCACTAAACATAAAAAAATGTGTAGGTATGCTCTTTTCTCGCAACGCTTCCGCATCAATAAATTTACCATCTTTGAAAATAAACAAAATTTCGTTAGACTACGTTAAACAACAAAAAAATTTAGGTCTCATTTTTACTCAGAAGTTAGATTGGGGTCCCCATATTGATAATTTAGTTAGTTCGGCAGGAAAGCTAGTAGAATCAATCAAATTTCTAAGTAGATCGTTGTCACGTAAGGCACTTTCTTTAGTTTATAATACCTGTACTCTTGGAAAAATCAACTATGCAAGTGTCATTTATTCGGGCACAACTGAGTCAAATTTAAAAAAACTTAATACCTTACAATATGAGGCTGGACGCAAAATCCTAGGAGCGATGAAAGGGGCGTCATACGAAAAAATTTGCTCTGAACTCGGATGGACTCCCTTTTACGCGAAAAAAGATGAGAATTCAAATACTGTAAGATATGACATGTTCGATGTTTATCGGCTATGTCTTTTCTACAAAGGCATAAAAGGACAAGTACCCCTTAGAAATTTATTACCACAACAGACGCCTGTAAGTTATCCATTGTGCAGCCAAGCACGAGGGCTGCTACCGTCTCATAATGGTGGTCTGCTTGTACTCAGGAATAGTTTTATACCAGCTACCATTCAATTATGGAACAACTTATCAATAGATATAAAAATTCGAAAAAACTCAGCAACGTTTAAATTTACAATGAAACAACCTTTTTTACAGATATTGAATCTTCCACCTGTGACCGATCGAATTTTGGAAATAGACTTTTCACGCTTTCGATTGGGTTTCACACAACTGAATGAGGATTTGGCTAAAAGACATATAGTGACTGCCTCCGAGTGCGGATATAAAAGAGAATCATCACCTCACTTTTTCTTTTTTTGTGCAAAGTATATAGCACAACGTTCAGAACTATTAGAAACGTTGCAGTCTATACTTCAAATAACCGACGTAACAATGGATCATGTACTTTTTAAAAACAAAGACATACTCTCTCTCGAAAAAGATAAAATTAAAATCTTATATCTTACTATTTTAAAATTTTTGAAGGATGCAGGACGTTTTCGCCGGATCCAATGATGTGCGACCTTTCTTTTCCCGCCAAAGTAGAACTGTACTCCTTAGCAGATTCCTGAAGACTCCTGAAGCAAGAGAAAAAGCGTTTCCTTTTTGATAAGATAACTCATTTTCTAACTTTACAACACCTCTGACTATTTCTTCCTCTTCTCTCTTTTTCTTTTTTTACGTATTGTTCTTTTTTTCTTGTTGTTATTATTGTCACATCTGTTCAATTTCAACCAATATGTAATGAGCCAGCTCAATTTGTTGGAAAATAAAAAGTTTTAATTAAGTAAAGAACAGTAACTTTTTCTTTTTCTTGTTCCGTTTATATTCTCCAAACATTTTTCTTTCATTCTACGCCTAAATTAGGTTTTTATCATGAAAGACTATCGAATAAGGAAGTTCTTAAAAAAAGGCCCGATGTTCAAAACTTGACCTGAATTTTCAAGTAATTAACTTTTTTCTCAAACGGATAATGACTACCAGCTGAGAAAACTTCAGGATATTACTTTCAAAGTTTGCTCTACAAACTGGTAAAGTGCGAGGGAAAATTTAAATCGGAGGATCTTCTCTTTAAGCTATATGTCAGCCTCCCTTCTAGCGCAAGCCATCTAGAAAATGTAAGGTTAGATACATAGACGAATAATTTCACGGAAAAGTAACGGTTTTATTTCCGATTAAGGTTTTTTTTATTGTTAACTAATTATCAACGTTCTGTCTCGCACTATCCTTTTGGGTTATGACCCCGTTTCTGAAATGTATCTCAGAAAATGTTTTGCAAGTCTTTTCGAAGGCAAACATAGCAAACTTATTCAAAATCCTTGAGTGTCTTTCCCATTCTAAAATGAACAGTAGCATTCAAGTGAAAAACACATAACACTTTGTTGAAATATATCTAACACACAGAGATGGACGAAAAATTCAGACTCGAAAAAAGATCTGACGACATTATTTAGTCTGTTATGAGATCCGAAAATTCTAAGATTTTGGTAAGATCTTATTAAGATATAGATTATTTTATCTAAGATTCTTTCAAGATTGGATAAGAATCTATTAGCATCTTAGTAGTAAGAACTATCACGTTTATAATAAACTTCATTCACAATTTCACCAAGAATTTTTTGGATTAAAATAACAATTGAACCGGTTTAAAGAATGAGAAGAAATTTCATTTTTTCGGGCATTCAACCATCGATCCTGACTTGCATTGTACAGTTTCTAAAAAGTTGTTGAACACTTTTAAGAGAAGGAAGTAGGAACAAATTGATAATCTACATTTTCAGTTGAATGTGGAAATCAAAATACCCGATCTCGACAGTGTTTTATTTTTCATGATGATGTTATTGTTATGGCGAAAAAATTGCTATGCTTAATGTGAACAGAAAATAAAATGAACTAATTAAAAATTCATAAAGTCAGACATAGCTCATACTTGAAACAGCCAACGAACATTCAATAATTATGGACAAGCTGGTCTTACATATTTTACACCAAATATTAACATATTTCGAGACCCTCGATGGGATAAATTCTATATTTTCAGAAATACATGATCTAGATTATGATTATCTTTGTCTATAGGTCGAGGACAAGAGACTCCAGGTGAAGATCCATATTTGACATCACAGTATGTTTATTCAATCATCAACGGTTTACAAAATGACGATGATTCAAAATATTTGAAAATCGCCGCAAGTTGTAAACATTTCAATGCTTACGATTTAGAAAACTGGAACGGAACGGATTGCTTTAGTTTCAATGCAGTGGTCACTGATCAAGATCTTGTTGAAACTTATTTGCCACCATTTGAAACGTGTATTCGTGATGCTCGTGTAGCAGGTATTATGCGTTCACATAATGCAATTAATGGTATACCATCGTGTGCAAATAAATTTCATTTACGAACATTGGCACGGCATGCATACCATTTAAACGGATTCATTGTTAGTGATTGTGGTGCTATTGATAATATAATGGGCACACATCATTATACATTAACAGTACAAGATATAGTAGTTGTGGCACTTCATGCCGGTACAAGTTTAGATTGTGGAGATTTCTACAGTAAACACTCAAAAGAAGCTCTTATAAATGGAACAATAAGTGAACAGAATATTGATAAGGCTTTGCAGTGGAATTCTGAAACATTGCTAAGGTTAGGTTGGTTCGATCCACCTGAACAGCAAGTGTATCGACAATATACAAAAGAACAAGTAAATACAAAAAAAGTTCAACAATTAGCATTGAAAAGTGCACAAGAATCAATTGTCTTATTAAAGAACAACAATGATCTGCAACAATTACCAATTAATTTAAATAAATTATCGGGAAAAAGAATTGGATTATTGGCCCAACTATAATTTCGCAAAAAAAAAAAAAAAAAAAATATGCACCTTATCTGATAGAAAAAGCGTCGGGCTATTCAAAACAGTATTCAGATTGGTTCCAGTTTTGCTTGAAAAATAGAAAACAAAGGAGTTCTTTTGATTACGACACTATACTGCATATATAACATCCAAACGCTTCGTTTACATATCTTTAATGACTGGTCTCACCTGTCTGGATATTCTGACCAGCTCACTTTGTAGAGAATTTCAAGGACTATCCAATGGTATGTTTTTGACAAATATGTAATTTTTCATTATGGCAGAAAAATGACTAAAAGAGTGTTTAAAGCACTAAGATAGGTGGAAATTATGATATCGGCCAAGTATTTCTACCATTGACGCATGTGGGTATATTTTTGAAAGACATATTTTAGCTCATTTCGAAGCCCAAAAAAATTCTCTATCTTTCTATATATAAAACATTCCGGTTCTGAGTAGATGAGTTGGAGAAATATTCCTTTAAAGCACTAAGATAGGTGAAAATGATGATATCTGTCTGGTATTTCGACAATTGTCCGATATGGGCATATTTTTCAAAAGTTCGTTTACAGCTTATTTTGAACCCCCGAAAATTCCCTATGTTGCTATGTATGCGCTTTGCCCAAGGACTTTGAAATCGGACGAGAAATTTGAGGAAAAAGGTAAATGGCTTCTGTTGAACTGGTGGTGAAAAATGAAACGGAGTTTTCTTTTCAAAGACACCAAAAGGAATTTTTGAAAGTGGATAGAAAATCTTTGAAAATGGAATTCGATGGCGACCAAATTCTATCTGATTTGTCATATTAATGTTAAAAAGATATTAATAATCTTGAAAGAAAATTTAGAAATTAAAAATCAATTTCAATTAAAAAAAATTGTAAATATTCCAATACGACTAAAATTATAGTAGTGTGATCTATTTGTTCTTGATATGTTCAGTAAGGAGTCTGTCCACGTAAAAGTTTCTCACAGTCATCGAGTACGAATGATACTCTTTCTCTCAGACAATCCTTAAACATAGACCATCACACATCAGAAGCCGTTTTTCACGCTAATGGCGAATATCAACTTTAAAACAATAAAAAATTAATCTCAGGCGTGAAAATTTAAGTTTGAGTGACCCACCAATTTTTCGACAAAAGTTATGAGGAGATAAAGAATCAAATTTTCTATATTTTCTAATAAAAAATAACGTCCAAAAAAAAGCGTTTAATAGACATACTATGTTTTGTGTGATTTTTTTACTATAGAGAATTTCTGAGTCAGATGAAAAATAAAAATAAAACAACAGTTCTTTTTGTTTCTATCAGAATGAAGAAAAACAGGAAAACACGCATTTTTTTGTGTGTTCTTCAGTATTCATAGTTTCAAAATCATTTCGTCGCCTCTGCTTTTACTTAAATGCTGATCTACAGTCAGAGATTCAAGATGTTCTTGTAGATTTTTTCGAAAACAAAAACAAACCGATATAAAAAAGACTTATGAAGCTTTAAAACGACAAACAATTCGGGTGTGTCCCAGAAAAACTGAATGAGTCAAAAGCAAGGCATTGTTACAACTCATTTGTCAACAAGAAGATCATTCAAAAGGCTTAAAATCTTTATTCGATGATCGTGCAGGTATATATCATTTGATGGAAATTTTCAAGCGCTACAAACAAAATTCTGTACTTGCTTTCTCAAAAATTTACTAATTAGTTGTTATTTTAACTGACTGTTAGATATACTGGATGTCTAAGTGATTTATTACCGTGTGTCCATAAAACCCATTTTTTAAATAACTTTTGATTGACAATAGCTAGAGAGTTGCGGTTTTCAACAATCGATAACCAAAATAGCGCCGAATCTTTATGTGACAAATGAGCTTTTCAAAACTTGTTGAAAATCCGCTTTTCCATGGGATCTATGGAAAACCGAAACTCGCAACATAAATCCTGGTTTGGAATTCTTTTCCGAAAGCGAGCATTGCCACCAGATTCAGTGTGGTTGAACACATGTGTTTCATGCATTTTCAATATCACTGGATACTATTACTGGGGCTCGAAATCAAATATATATAAAACAAATATATAATATATTCACGATCATCAAGAAATCAGTAACTAACAAATAAAAGTGTAATGTACAACAGTAGCGCTAATCAGCATTAATTAGTACTTATTAATTATAATCTCATACCTTAGAAAATTAAGTTTAAAATCTTTTTTATTTCCATAGATCATTGGCTCTCAAGCTGCGCAAGAACGACGCTTATATAATCACTTTTGATCGAACTGCAAGCTTTCCAACAGGGGGACTAGCAATTCAAATTTTAATTAGAATTCACACTTAATTAATTAACAACACTATCAATACTTGACCAAATTTTGTTTTATTCTCTAAGCATACCATTAAAGGTGTCCTCTACAAACCAGTCAAGTTTGAGGGTATGTTTAGGGGAGGACACCCTTCCTAAGTAGGAAACTCTGATTTGTGTGCTGTTGAAAAATGCGACCTACAATTGCAATATATCCTAACTGTTCGAAGCTCTTTTTAAGTTTCTGTAAAGTGTACGATATAGATCTCGAGTTGTACAACCTATAACCTATAAATGATCTTTCGCCGTCGCTCAAATCTTCTCTTCTTTCTTGTCTCTTTGCTGACGATGTCTTTTGCGTCACAAATATTTTCGAAGGACAAAAATGTATTGACGAGCTTCTTCTTTGGTGTGATATAA